CCCTCCTTCTCCAGAAGAGCATCTGGTGGAATCGAACCATGTACCTCTGGGATTGCAGAGCAGCTTCTTGCCACTAGGCCACCAGAGCTCCCTTTGTTTGTTCTTTCTTTTAAAAAAAAAAATTATAAATTTTTATGTGTGTACCGTCAAATCAGATATGACTGGTACAGGAGGGGATTGTCCATCCTTCAGCAGAGCATCTGGTGGATTCGAACTGCGCACCTCTGGGATTGCAGTGCAGCTTCTTGCCACTAGGCCACCAGAGTTCTCCTGTCTCTGTTATTTCTTAAACAAAAATCAGTGTTGCATGTTTAAGGAGAACTCTGCAGAGTAATCATTCTAAAAGTTGTAATTTGAAGTTATTTTTGTACTTTTAACTAATTTTAAAGTAATCCTATAGAGCAAGGTACTTCATTATTTCCTTCTTGTTAAGAGATATAGTTGGAAGCATCATTTCAGGAAGTAGTGTTAACTAAATTCAGGTATGCTAATGCCATTTGTGGTTTTGTTACTTGATTTTCTTACACTAAAGCCAGTATCTGTCATACTAAAAATGTTTTTTAGACTTGAATTATTCAGATTTTTCTGGATGCTAAGAGCAAAATGTATTCTAGATTGTTTTTTAAAAAATAAAGATTAAAGAAAGTAATCAGTATTGCTGAAAATTGAGGTGTTTAAATTGTAATAATATTTAAAGGTGGGAGACTTTTCTCAGTCTTGATTTTTCTAGTTTCTCTTGTATCCTTTCTATGTGCCTGCTCTACTCTTTCTATGTCACCTGTCTCCTTCATTTATATTTTATGGTTTTCACTCTCTTTGTACTTGGATTATTAATATCCATCATAACTTCTTCTAACTTTTCTGTCACCTTTCCTTAGATCTCAATCCTCGGGTTAGTTCTCAGAGTTCAATTACTTGGCTTTTTTTGTGATTTGGATTTTTTTCAGTTTCCCAGTTCTAGACTTTTAAGATGAAATTTAGCTCAGATCATCTTTTTAAACCAAGACTTAGAAATGGCATATTATTGGAAAGCCCACAGATGAACCAAAATGTCTCCAGAGGGAGTTTCCATTTAGGACATATTCTGAATAAAAGCTTGAATTTTTCCCTATCTAGACCCTAATCCTAAAAAGAAAAACATCCAATTAGTTTAGTTTGAGTTTTTATATTGGTAGAGGAGACTTATGAAAGGCAACAGGGAATACAAATACTAAGTTTTTAACTTAAATTTTGTATGTTTTCTTCTCCTTTTTTCATAAATGCATGTTGTGTTTTTCTTTCAGAATCTTTGAAAAACGGCTCTGCTATAGGTGATGCAAGTAAAGTTTATTCTTTTCAAAATAGAAAACCACCTGAAAAGATGGCTAAACTAGGTATGTTACTTTTCTGGATTCTCTAAGTTAATATATCTTTTCTAAGTATGGATTGAGGCTCAATGTCAAGAAGACAAAGATTCTCACCACTGGACCAATTGGCAGCATCAGGATGGATGGTGAAGAGATTGAGATTGTACACAGCTTTAGTTTGCTTGGCTCCACAGTCAACAGTCTTGGCACCAGCAGCCAGGAAATTAAAAGGCACATTGCCATGGGAAAGTCTGCTGTTAGGGACCTCTCCAAAGTACTAAAGAGCATTGGTGTCTCTCTGGAGACTAAGGTGTGTCTGATACAGGCCATGGTCTTCGCAATCACTTGTTATGCATCAGAGAGTTGGACAATGACCAAGTAGGATAGAAGGAGAATTGATGCCTTTGAGCTGTGGTGCTGGAGAAGAGTATTGAGAATACCATGGACTGCTAGGAAAACAAACAGATTTGTCCTGGAAAGGGTTAAACCCGGTTTCTCCTTGGAGGCAAGGATTCTGAGGCTCCGTCTAACATACTTTGGACATGTTGTGAGGAGAGACCGGTCCTTGGAGAAGGACATCATGCTTGGGAGGGGGAGGGATGGTGCAGGAGTGGAAGGCCCTCTATGAGGTGGATTGATTCAATGACTGGGATAATTGGGATGGGAGTGTCAGAGACAGTGCAATTGGCACAGGACAGAGCAGAGTTTAGGGCTGTTGTACATAGGGTCGCTATGAGTCGCAAGCAACTCGACGGCACATAACAACAAGAAGTTAATATTTATAAGAGAATGTAGAGAGCTCTGGTGCCTTAGTGGCAAGAAACTTCTACAATCATGAAGATATGTGGTTTGAAGCCACCAGCGCTTCACAAAAGGATGGGCAGTCTCCTCCCACGTGATTAAGTGCCTCTGGACACCCACTGGAGGGTCAGCTCCAGCTTGATGGTACACAGCAACAAGACGATACACTGACTAAGAAGGTATAGGCTAACCAATACTTGGAGTTAGAAGCACTCTCTGAAGAACTGGAAGACTTTATAAAATCAGAGAAGTGAATTGCTTGCGTAAAAATTATTGAAATGGCAAATTTTTTGTTATATATTTTATCACAAAAATAGAGGTACAGGAGGGAGGGTTGGGAGGGAAGAAAAGTGCAACAATGAATGAATGGAAATCCGAAGTCCCTGTAAATTTTCATTGAAATTAATAATAAATTTTTTTTTTTAAAATAGAGGTACAGAGAGAACCTAAGCAGAAACTTAGGCAGTCTTACAGGTTGAATGTTGTCGGAAATATGAGAGTACTGAAGAAGAAATGGAGCTAACAGAAGTCAAAATCATGCATTATGATCTAAAAAAAGAATGCTTTCAAGTAAAGATTGAAAAACTGTGGTGAATGATAGAAAGGAACAAAGAGTTTGAGCATAAAGAGCATTATGTGGAAATTGTCATGAGATATTTTCATTTGCTTTCTATGAATCTTAAAGATGAACAGTGGATAAGGACAGCACAGGAAGAATCAGCACCTTTGAATTACAGTGTCAGTAAAGAGTCCTAAGTAGTCTATGAACTACTAAAAGAATAAGCAATTTTGCCTTGAAGGAAGTACAGGTAGAGAGTTCTCCTTCGAGGCAAGGATGGTCTTATGTACTCTGGGCATGTTATCAGGAGTCATCCTTGGGAAAGGACATCATGCGAGAAAAAGTGGAGGATCAGAGAAAGATCACACCCTGATCCTGATGCTGCATAATTCATAAAATCCAGGTTCTTGAACAATTTGCTTATCAGTCATTTTATATTGTGAGGGTTGCAATCACGGATATAAAACAAAATGAATTCTTGAATGGGAAATTTATCAACTCTGTAAACCTTCACCTAATTCAAAAGTAAAAAGCCTTTCATAATAAAGAAACTATTTCATCTAATGCTCACATATTAGCTGTAACTAATGGTAATAATCATATAAAATAGCCATCTCTTCAATGCTGTATATTTTATGCATTATTTAGATAGTAGAATTGTAGATACAAAATATTCCATATTCTATGGTAGATTTTAAGGGATTTTAAAGTAAATATTTAACTATGCACAGCTTTCATTTGATCATAGAACCTTCTTCCTGGTCCTTTCTCACCTCCTGGCAAAGATGTGCTTTAAATATATGTGATAGGGAAATAAATGTAGATTTGGCCATGGAGAGTAATGAAACAGAGTGCAATAATTAAAGGAAGCAGCAAGATCAGAGTTCTTGATTAGAAGTGAAAGCAGTAATAATCTTTTTTAAAATTTTAGATTTTTTGGTGGCAGTATACAACCAAATACACATCTGTTCACAATTTCTACTTGTTCAATAACATTACTTCCATACTTCATGTTTTGACACTTTTCTACTCCATGTTTCATCATTTTCCATCCATTGAAGTTCTCATCTGGGCTTTAAATCAACTTTTGTCAGTTTATAATACTCATAAAGCTTATTTTTCTAAGAATGTTATCCTCAACCCAGGCTTTCTTTATTAATTGGATTGTAAAAAGAGCAAGGGCCACATGGGGAATGCCATATCATACCTTTACCAGTTTTATAGAGAGAAACTGTCCCCACCCACAGCATCAGTAAGACAAGACCAATTCCCATGAGTCAGACATGTTCCCCAAGCTCCCAATACCTCTTTCTACTCATTTCAGCACCAGCCTTACTGCTTTTGTAGGTCCAAAATCTGGTGTGACAGCACAGAGACCACACAGAACCATACTGGGAAAGTAAAACAAATGATAATTCAGATTAATAATAGAAGATAGTCAAGACAGATCCCAAAATGTGCACACAGGCACCTCAGCCTTCAGTCTTATGGCTTTAAGTGTTCCCAAGTTCTCAGTCTTGCCAGTATAGGCTTCCCATCCACAGCTGTCCAACAAAGTTCTCAGACCTACCAGTATTGGCTCCCACCCCTGCAAAGTCTCATCTCACATCAGTTCTCCAGTTGCTGCTGCTCTCATCCCAAAGCATGTACATTTCACTAGGTTGGGGGTGGTCTCTGTTCTCTGGTTGGGGGAAGAAATCTCTTTTCTGTGTAGGGAAGATCTTCTATTCTCTGCAGCAAGAGCTGTTCAATTTATTGGCAAGACTAGTGAATCCTCTTGTAGATTGTTGAGACTGACCAATCCCCTTGTGGAATGGTAGATAGTCAGTCCCTTTGTGGATAAGCCAACATGCCTCACTTGCATAGTCCCATCCCTCCACTTAGTCATCCACGCTAGAAAAGCCATAATGAGAGAGAGACTCCACAGGGCTGTACTGTTTAGTTTAATAATGGTTCCATGGGGTAGTTTCAAGTTTTAAAAATTATTTGCACAAAACAACTATGAGATACCATCTCACCCCAGTCAGAATAGCAAAATTTAACAGAACAGCAAGCAACAAATGCTGGCGAGGTTGTGGAGAAACTGGAAGCCTTATTCACTGTTGGTGGGAGTGTAAAATGGTGCAACCACTGTGGAAGGCGTTATGGCGCTTTCTCAAAAAGTTGCAAATAGAGATAGCATTTGACCCAGCAATTCCACTACTGGGAATATACCCCAAAGAGACCATAACTGACATCCAAGCAGATATATGCACACCCATGTTTATCGTGGCTTTGTTCACAATAGCAAGGAGCTGGAAACAACCCAGTGCCCATAAACAAACGAATGGATAGAGAAGCTGTGGTATATTCACACAATGGAATACTACGCTGCATTGAAAAACAAGGAACTCATGCAATATTCAAAATGGGTGACCCTGGAGGACATTATGCTTAGTGAAATATCTTAGTCGCAAAAGGACAAATATTGCATGGTGCCACTGCTGTAAAATGGGACTGATATCAGGGTTGGGGTAAGACTGAGAAAAACTGGATAAATTGTGTATACTGCACTGAAACAGATGAGGGAGAGAATAATTTAAAAGCGATGTATGATAGGGTATTATGGTTGTCACAAGAGTCCACAATTAAGGTTGCATAGTGGAATGTACTTGGGGTGGTGGGAGGGGTGTGGGGGGATTGTGTACCAGGGAGGGAGTGTTTCTTTTACTTTTCAAAGAGAGGAGTGAACAGGGTTGGGCGGGGAGAGAAGTGCAGCAACGAATGAATGGAAATCCAAAATCTTTGTAAATGTTCATTAAAATTACTAAAAGAAAAAAAAATAACTACAATTAAAAAAAATTATTTGCGGGCATTAGATTAGTCTTAATGGAACCAGTAAGTCTGGTTGCCATATAAATTTGAAGTTCTGTTCCACAGAATTCAGTAATACTCTTTAATATGGACCAGTTTCAGTACCAGATTACTCAGTAAGCAAGGTAAGCATAGATTTGTCTGTGTACTACTTATGTACTACTCGGTAGTGGACAGTTTCATATCTTTAATATGGTGAAACCTGTGTGAAATTGTTTGCTATAAAATGATAATGCCAAAGCATTAGTAAGCCCTTGTTTTCTTTGCTTCTGAGTAATCATTCTGCTCCAGTAGTTTTACCTTTTAACAGTGCAAGATGTTAGGGATTGTGCCGCCATAGCTTCATAAGGTTTTATCTATCTGTCTATCTATCTATCTATCTATCTATCTACCTACCTACCTACCTACCTACCTACCTACCTACCTACACACAAACACATATATATGTATGTATGTATTATGATGATGATGATGTGTGTGTACCATCAAATTGAATTTGACTGGTACAGGAGGAGATTGCCCCCTCCTCCAGCAGAGCGTCTGGTGGATTCAGACTGTATATCTCTAAGATTCCAGTACAGCTTCTTTCCACTAGACTGCCAGAGCTCCCTGGTTTTATCTTTTTTATAGAAGTAGAAGGCAGGTTTAGTTTTGGGGTTTTTTAAAAGCATTTATAGAAATAAAATAAGGCTATTTCCCTCTGTATCATCTACTGTTCATGATTTTTTTTTTAAAGAAATTCTGTCTCAAGAGTAATAATAAACGCTTGACACGGGTTTTTAAACCTTAAAACAATTATGTCTCTTTACAGCTTCAGAATTAGCAAAAACACCAAGAAAAATTGTTTCCTGCAATTTGAAGGATGATCCTGAAGAAGCAATAAACATTCCTCAAAGTAGCAAAGGTAAGGCTTCAGTTCTTTGAAGAGGATTTTGATAGTTGCTTCCAGTTTTAAAATACTATTTTTTTTACTTGTCGAGGTAAATTTTACGTATTTTCTTTTTTTACTTTGTCACTTCATCCAGCAAATGTAATTAATATAACCACTTATGTGCATTAGTATGCCAGTAATCAGCAGTCAATAAAAGGGGACACTGTCTGTGCCAGCTGATACTGTACAATTGACGTGCCCAACTACAGCAAGTCCCATTGTCATTAGTTTGAGTTAGCCAAATAAATGTTCATGAAAGATTTGCTTTGGCAAATTACATTTGGATAAGGCTTTGAGAATTTGGAAGTCTAGTATTGTGAAGAGTTGCTGAGAAATTGTTTTTGAATGCTCTAGTATACCTAAATGTACTTTTTAATAATGAACAATGAAAATGGCTTCATTTTTTTTTGCTTGTTCTAATGCTAAATAAAGAAATGTAGAAAATAGTTGTCACTAAAGGAAGTAATTTTAAAATTAACAGTGAGAGGGTTTGTTTGTTTTTTTTTTAAATTTATTTGTTTATTTATTTATTTTTTACAAAGGTTTTGGATTTCCATTCATTCATTGCCGCAATTTTCTCCTTGCCCACCCCTCCCCACCAGCTTGCTTCCCCCTCCAAAGAGAAAAAAAAAAAAAAGGAAAAAAATTCCCTCATTAGTATACAATTCCCACGTCCCTTCCCCCCACCCCCCACCCCGAGTACACTTCTCTATGCAACTTTAATTCTGGATTCCTGTGCTAACCATAATACTCAATCATATATCACTTCTAATCTGTTCTTTCCCTCATCTGTTTCAATACAATATACATAATTTATCCAGTGTTTTCTGTCATACCCCCACCCTGATATCAGACCCATTCTACAACAGTGGCACCAGACAGGTTTGTTTTTAATAAAATTAAACCACTATTGAATGTGAAATACAGTCAATCAGTGGACAACAGAGTATGAACTTCAGGTCTACTTAAACTCTGGTTTTTTAATCCTATTCCTCTTGCAAAGATTAACCTAGAAATGTTGGCTTTGTGATGGAATGTAAAATGCACTTAACCCTTCAACAACAGGGGTTTGAACTTCAGAGCCACTACTGCTCTCTTCTTATGCTAAGATTTTTGTGTCCTATTGTGTTGAAACTTTCATTCAACTTTAAGTGAATATTCACAACATTTGAGCTCACTGTAGTAGCAATAAGAAAATCTAATGTCCGTGGAACTGTGCAAACCCTTGTTTAAGTGTTTACTGTAAATTATATACAGATTTTTTACTCTGGAAGTTCAGTGCTTCCTCCTCTGACTCATAGTCATATATATGACTCGTAGTCATATATACGACTTGTAGTCATATATACGACTCGTAGTCATATATACTTGTAATAAGTCATGGCTTTTGTTTTGTTCAATAGGGCATTCTACTTCAGACAAAGTTGAGCTGAAGGTAAGCAATTGACTAAAGCAAATAAAGACTCAAGTGTTTCAAAGTAAGGCTTAACTCACTATTTGTCTCTTAATTTATATAATGCTTTATATTTTTACAGGTAATGGTCAAATTACCTACTTACCTCTAGGTGAAGAATTTGAACCTTAGAAAAGGTTAAGTGACTTACCTGAGTTTACCAATTAAGGAAGGAGAAAAGCTTGAAACTTAAGCAGGGTCTATTGGACCCAACTCTTGGGCTTTTCCTGCTGTGTCAGCACTGTCCTTGCCTATTTTCAACTTAGTAGAATTGCCCTGAAAATTCTATTTGAACACCAACATTGTTTATAAAATGGGCACATTTTTTCAGAGTTATTGAAAAGGATTTATAATATTTAACCTGCTCTTATATTGCAGTGCTTTTAGTTTTCATCATACCTTGTCAAACAGATCTTGTTGGGTATGGATAAGCCTATGTAGATGTGGAGGAATCTTAGACATTAGTGATTCAAGGTTTAGGGTATAAGAATGGTAAGAGTGGACCATGGGTTTAGTCATGCTTTGGAAAGAGTATGGGTATGAACATTTAAGGCAATGATTATGGTCAGTGCAGACATTTAGGTAATCTAGGCTAAGTTGGTTTAAGAAAGAACTGATAGGGTAAATTCATGACATGTTATTTTAGAGTTAGTGGATAAAGTAAAGAAAGGCAGTGAGTCTTGATATATAAACTGTTATTTGATAAGCAAGCTGTTTGCCCTAGTGAGTAAATGTGCCCTGATACGAGAATGGTTTGCCCAAATGAACAAATTGTTTAGATAAAACTCACTTGAAAAAATTTCCTGTAGCTAACACTGACTGACTCATTTATAGCCTTATGTGCTTGAGCAAGAATTTTTTCAAAACATTGTTATTTTAACATAGGTGCTTTTAATTCTTGTTCTTGTAATGTGGTAGTGAGACCAGTACTGACTCTTCAGCAGGTTTTCAGAGCTTGTTAATTACACAAGAAGAGATTATTCATTTTCCCCCCTGAAGAGCAGCTGGTGGGTTTGAACTACATACCTGTGGATTGGAAATGCAACTCCTTACCAGTTGGCCACCAGAGCTCTCTTTCTGTTCTTAAACCTGATAATTAAGCCTTGTGAGTGCAGATTATTTCAATCTTGAAAACAATTTGGCAGAATATGAACTGCATTTTTAAGAAATAAAAAAAGAAATTTTCTATTTTAAACTATTGCTTTTTCCTCATTTATTTCAGTTATATTTGCATGTGTATATTGGATCAAGACAGCAAAATAATATTTTGAGAGTTCTGACCAAAAATATTAGACATTTTTAAATTAGATTTTATTTGCATTTGTAACTGGTTCTAATAAATTACCATAAGAACAGACTTTTTTGTTATATTTTCAGGTGGCACAAAAACACAGATACTTTAAAAAATATCTAATTGGTATTGTTAAAAATTAGCATGTACTAGAAATATGATGGTAAAGTTTTATATTCTTCGAGGAAGAGAAATATAGTTCTTTAATAGATAAATATTAGTTTAATATATAAATATATTTTATTATATAAATTAATATATAAATATAGTTCTTGGAATATATAGTTCTTTATGTATCTGTGAAGTATTTTAAAATTAAAAGATAGGGTAGTAAAAAATAAAAATGTTTCTTTCCTTCTAACAGTATAGTACTTTATCACCAATAAATATCCAGCATGCATGAGTTTCTTGTTTCCATGTATACTCATATTCTGTACGTAATATTAACAATTGATATTATTTTTTTAAAAATCTGCTAATCTAGGTGTGAAAGTAGCTTACAAGGCTAATATATTTCTGTTTTTCCCTAACTTCATGCTGTGTTCTAGAATATAGTTTCAAGAATCACTCAGAATTCCTTTGGAGTTTGTTTTTGTTGCTGTCTTATTTATTTTTCCCTACAAAATAGTCTTTACCTTTCTAAAAGCTTTGAAACCCATCTTCTAAAGCATAATATTTTTCCCCCTAGTGTCTTTCAGGCCAGCCATCAATTTTCCATGTCATTATTACTATATGACTATAATGCACTTCTTTTTTTCTCCACTCACAGAATGTAGAAACAACTCGTAGAAGTTTAAGGAAAAGAGTAATAGGTATGTATTCCTTTTTAAAGTAAGTTGTTTTTTGTTGGTTTGGTGTTTTTGGGTTTTTTTTAGAGTAAGTGTTTTAAAAGATAACATCTAATTAAATGGTTAAGTAGTCAGCTGTTAAGGCTGCTTAATATTACATCAACTCTCGGCAGTAGTGAGAGTTCAGGAAAACAGACGAGGACAGAAAAGGCAGAAAGAAAAGGACAGTTGTAACTATTCATTCCCTTGATTGGGGCCATTGCCATATTTTATATAAATAGGAAGTTCCCACTGAGTGTCAGTGTCAGCCTTTCTTAGGTACCTTAACACTACATTAAATTAGACATTATTAGGCATATTTGACAAATGAACTGAGTAAGCACCAGATAGTTTACGTAACTTGCTTTGGTATAATCATGAGCAGGTAATGATAAAATCAGAATTGGAACTCTTACTTCAAAGCCCACATGTAACTCCATAATATTTTTCTGTCAAGCTGTCAGATAGTCCCAGGTTTTTCTTTCCCCCCACAGTTCCAAGTTCTCTTTCGGAGAGTGAAAGTGAATATTCTGCTTCCAACTCAGAGGATGATGAAGGAGTTGCACAGGAATATGAAAACACTAACGAAGTCATACTGAGTTCAAAAATTCAAGACCAGAACAGAATAGTTCCATCTGTTTGCAAAGAAACACATTCTAAGAAAATAAAGGGAGATAAAACAGTAAGTAGGATATTTTTAACCTAACATAAAAATTTATTACAGGAAGTTTAAGAAGAAAAGTAATTTATAATCCAGTCTTTCTAAATATCTCATCATTTTTCTTATTTTCTCTCAGTCTTTTAAACAAATGTGTACATTTATATTTAAAATAAAAATCCTAGTGAACAATTAAATTTGCATCTTTTGTAAACTTCTATTTCCCATATTTTTATATAGTCATTTTTACTATTTTTAATGCATTTTATTGTTATTTTAACAAGTTTTCAGAAAAGTTGGATTTTTATTCGTTCATTGTTGCAAAATTTTCTCGCTCATCCCTCAGTACACGTTACAATGCACCTCTTATTCCAAATTGTTGTCAAACATATAATGCATAATCATGTATTCCTTTTAAACAGTTCTTTCCCTCAGCTGTTATGCAATATTTGACCTTTTGCAAGTGAGATATTTTACTCAGCATAATGTCATCTCATTATGCTGTGGGAGGATATCAAGACTATCAACTATGAAGAATGCAAAAGATCATTACAAAGACAGCAGAAGAAGAAAAGACCAAAATGGATGTCAGACGGGACCCCGTATGTTGCACCAGAGCACCGAGAAGCCAAAGCAAAGGAAAGAATATGTAAATGAACTGAACAGAACATTTCAAAGGGGAGCATGAGAAGACAAAGCAAAATATTATCATGAAATGTATAAAGAGCTAGAGTGGAAAATAAAAAGGGACGAGCTTGCTCAGCATTTTTTAAGCTGAAGTTACTGAACAGAGTCAAGCCTCGAGTTGCAGTATTTAAGGATTCTGTGGGCAGAATGCTGAATGACCCAGGAAGCATCAAAAGAAGAAGGAAGGAAATAAAATAGGTTGAAGGAGTACAAGGAATCAATATGCCAGAAAGAATTGGCTGAGGACAAAGTTCAAGCTGCTCTGAAGGAATTGGCAAAAAACAAGGCCCCAGCAATTGATGGTTTACCACTTGATATATTTCAACAAATAGATGCTGCCCTGGATGTGCTCACAAGGCTGTGCCAAGAAATCTGGAGGACAGCCACCTGACTAATTGCCTGAAAGAGATCCATATTTATTCCCATTCTGAAGATAGGTGACCAGGCAGTGTGGAAATTATCACACAATATCACTAATATCACATATATTTCAACAAACAGATGCTGCCCTGGATGCGCTCACAAGGTTGCCAAGAAATCTGGAGGACAGCCAACTGACCAACTGCCTGAAAGAGATCCATATTTATTCCCATTCTGATAAAAGGTGACCAGACAGTGTAGAAATTATCAAACAATATCACTAATACCACATACAAGCAAGATTCTGCTGAAAATGATTCAAATAGTAACACATCAACAGATAACTGCCAGATGTGTAGGTTGGGTTTAGAAGAGGTCATGGCCCTGGAGACATTATAGCCAATGTTAGACAGGAGGACTGACTGTGTTTCATTGACTATACAAAGGTATTTGACTGTATGAATCATAACAAACTGGCTAACTCTGAGAAGGATTGGAATCTCAGAACACTTGATAGTGCTTATGTGAAACCTATACCAGAGCAAGGAAGCACTTCATGGATGAAAATCAGGAAAGGTGTACACCAGGGATGCATATTCTCTCCATACCTTTTCAATCTATATGTGGACTAGATCATCTGGAACGCTTGTCTTAATAAGGAGGAATGTGTCATCAGGATTGGAGGAAGATTCCGCAACTATCTGCGATATGTAGATGACACAACCTAGCTTGTCAAAACTGAGGAAGCAGTTGCTGCAGAAGGTCAAAAACTGCAGCTGTAGTATGGATTGAAGCTCAACATCAAGAATACAAAGATTCTCACCACTAGGCCATTTGGAAGCATCATCATAGACAGTGAAGAGTTTAAGATTGTTAACAAACAGCTTCAGCTTGCTTGGCTCCACAAACAGCACTCTTAATACCAGCAGCCAGGAAATTAAAAGACAAGTGTATTTGTTTTTTGTCATGGTTTTGATTCCTAAACTCAGGTATTGCTGTTGATTTGTAGACTGTTGTGGGAAATGAACATGTCTTAGAGAAAAGGATAGAAAAATTTCATCTCACATGCTTTGAGCATGTTTTCACAAGGGGTCAGTGTCTGGAACAGGACATCATGCTTGAGAGTCAAGGAGAGAAGACCCTCAATGGGACAGATTGAAGTAGTGACCACAACGAGTTCACAGCCGAATTATGAGCATAAGATGATAGTAGGTGTTGTTTCATTCTTGTACAGCGAGTCATTATGAATAAGAGTTGACTTGACAGAACCTAAAAACAACAACAGTATAAACTGTGGTACTCCTGTCCTAGACAGACGTTGACGGTGCTATGCGACATTTAAGTCTTTGTTAATTATGAATGATGTAGCCACAGACCTATGTTGACTTATTTAGAAGAACATTGATAAAAGGTATATTTTATTAGTGCTTTGTGAAGAGGTTCAGAGAAGATTTAGGAAGCTTACTGCCTGAATCCCATCCTTTCCCTACCACCCTGAAAATTAATCTTTGCTGTAGATGAAAGAATAAGTACTGAGTAATTTTACTGCAGTAGTAGGCAAGTCTTTTTTATTTTACTATTAACTTCTTCCACATTTTCAGTTTTTACAAGTGTATGAATTTTCTCAGACTATTTCAGGAGCAACCATAAGTCCAGATATGTTTTTAAAAGTCTTTTAAAATTGTCTCTCAGTGGAGATTATACTTTGGTACTTAGGAATCATGTTTAGAAGAAGACTACTACTTCAATCTAATTGTTTCATCACTTCTATGACCCTATTTCTTAAACTTAAAAATACCATATATCAAAGAACTTCATATGTTCTATTTTGTATTGCTGTTGTTGTCTATTTTTGTTATAAAACAGCTACTAAGAACTGACTTTGGTCTTTCCACTTTCAGAGTGACTTAGTAGAAGAATATTTTGAAGCTCACAGCAGTTCAAAAGTTTTAACCTCTGATAGAACACTGCAGAAATTAAAAAGAGCTAAACTGGATCAGGTATGTTACAAGGATTAACACATTCAAGGCAAAATTTTATTGTAAGCTGGAAAAATATGCTACATAAGCAGTAGATTTGAAAAGTAGTTCTACAGAAGCACAATTCTTGTCCTAATCAAATGGACCTTAATTAATATGAAAACATTATACATTTACTTTGTTGACTAAATCATAAATAGCTTTCTACCTTTGAACTCTTTTTGACATAGAAGAATGATGATACCGCTTTTCTCTTACTATTTTACCTATTCTCCTGGGTCCCTAATCATCAGTGATAATTTCCTTGATATCTGTGTTTTATTAATCTCTTGTTTGTTTAACTCATTCGTTCATTTTCAACACACATCATAAAACAAAGACTGTGGCCTGACTTCTTGGTTATAAACTGCAAAAAGTGGAGCATATTGTAAACAAATCAGTATAAAATAAAATAAAAAAGAAGCATATTTGGTTTTACATTGTTCTATAAACCTGTCAGTTGTGGTAAAGCAGTGAGGTTACTATATCTGTAGTTCCAGGAGCTCATTATACTAAAAAGACCACATAATTAACCTAATTGAGATTTTGGCTGATACTTCCATAAAAGAGGAAATAGTTCACTAGAACATAGAGGATAGATTTTATTATTCTCTGCAGTTCAGAATTACATATGGTTTCTTAAGGTGCTCATGGCTTTTGCAATAGAAGCTGTGATTTGAGACCAGCTGTAGAAAAAAGAGGGGGGTATCAGTAAGCTTCCATGACCTGGGTAGTATGGTGCATAATTATACATAATCAGAGACTAGCTAAAAAATTACAAGAAAGCAAGTTTATTCCAAGAAAGATATAATGCTAACATCTTATTACATAACATTTTTCTAGAACTGCAACAGTATAGGATAAATGAATCATAGTAGGTAAAAGATCTATGTAGGACATAGCAGCTAAAAGATCTTCAAGAGGGTGAAAGAAACACTTCATGATAATAAGAGAAGGCTGTCCTTCCACTAATTTTAGGAAAAGCTCACAGAGATAATCTCAGAAATGTGTAGCAGTGAGCATTTATTTCTCATGTTTGCTTCACTTGTGTATCTTTTTAAATCAGTGGACTTAGTTATATTCTTAAGACAGTGGCAGAATCCTAAGAGATCAGATTGAAAGACACAAGACCTCTTAAAGCCTATCCTCAAAACAAGCCTGATAGATAACATGACTGCCTCATCTAATGGTCACACCAGGTGATGCGGCTGAACACAAAGTTAAAAAGACAGTGAACTAACTGTACTTTATCTCTTTAATGACAAGCGTGTGTTTTGTACTTGAAGTATGGTTAAGTAAGAACTGTACAGGTCAGAATGCCTAGAATGGTAATTGGAAATATAGTCTTCAGAATTAAGATACATTACTTTAAAAGTAGAGTCGTTACAGTAGTTGCAGGTTTAAAACTTTGGCCACTCTTAGATAAAAAGTTTGTCAAATCTTTCAGAAGAACGCTTCAGTGATACAAGTTTATTTTCCTAGTGATAATGATAAATTATGGAAAAAAACCTCTATTTTCCGAGAATTCATGTTGTATTGTTGTTTTAAGCTTTTACATTTTTTTAAATCTGTAGGTTTTTTAAAAGTTTCTGGATTTGTTGTTTAAAGCTGGGAGGCAGATTTAATCATCTCCTTATGTTAATGATCTATTTTGTAATTAAAGTCTTATATTTGGAATTTATAGTGGTATAAATCCTAGATTAATAGATTCTTCACTGTTACTATTTATTTATACTATTAGCAAGATTGTTAAAAAACTGTTTTAAAAACTTTAAGATACATGAATGTGTGGATTCAACTAATATATTCATTGCTGAGCCAGATTAAAAAATATTTCTACTAATGACTTCTAACTTGTACCTCTACAGAAATTCTGCTTGGATTGGCTTGATATATGTGTTTTGAGAATGATTTTTATTCGTTTTCTTTCTTTTGAAGCAAACTTTGCGTAACTTACTGTGCAAGGTTTCTCCTTCTTTTTCCACTGAACTTAAACAACTTAATCAACAGTATGAACAGTTATTTCATAAGTGGATGTTGCAGTTACAGTAAGTATTCCAATCATTGCAGATTCTTATAAAACAAAAGATCCATAAATATCTTAATTTTAAAAGGGAAACAATGTAACAATTCATTTTCCCTATATATATTTAAATTTACTACTTTCCAAATTTTTACTCAGAAGTAGAAATGTCACTTAATTTTATGACTCTTCTCAGGATTCTGTAGTTTTAACAACTTTGTTTTCTAAGTTTATAGGGAAGGATTTTTATCAGTTCTTTTATAAGGTCACTATAAGTTGAAGGTGACTTGAGAACACTTAGAAACAAGTTTGTTAAAATGACAGCTCATTTGTAGATTAAATAGTCTTTTCATAAATTGCTACTCATAAAAGTATTTAAACCCACTAATACATCAAGACTGGTAAATACATCAATTAAGTTTTGATCCAGTTTTTCACATTAGAGTTCCTAAAGTGAAAAGTATATTTTTCTTTTAATTTCACTCTATATTTATAGACTTCACAATTTTATGAGAGCATTATTTACCATTTTAAAAATTATTTCCTAAATGTTTCTGTTTTGGTTTTTTGTGTGTGTTTTTTTAATATTAATTTCAGTAAAAATTTACAGAGGCTTTGGATTTCCATTCATTCATTGTTGCACTTTTCTCCCCTCCCAAACTTCCCCCTAGTACACTACCCTCTTATAAAAGTAAGACAAAAATTCTTTCATTGTTTTACAATCCCTCCCCCAGGTCCACTCCATCATGTAACCTTCGCTCTAGACACCTGTCATTACAATAATACCTAATCGCATACCCTTTGAAACAGTTTTCTCCCTCATCTGTTTCAATGCAGTATACGTTATTGAACCCATCTTTCTCAGTCTCCCAACCCTGATGTCAGTCCTGTTTTACAACAGTGGCATCATGCAGTATTTGTCCTTTGTGATTGAGATACTTCACGTAGCATAATGTCCTCCAGGGTCACCCATTTTGAATAATATTGCATGAGTTCCTTGTTTTTCAATGCAGCATAGTATTCCATTGTGTGAATATACCACAGCTTTCCTATCCATTTGTTTGTTGATGGGCGCTTCGATTGTTCCCAACTACTTGCAATAAACATGGGTGTGCATATATCTGCTTGGATGTCAGTTATGGTCTCTTTAGGGTATATTCCCAATAGTGGAGTTGCTGGGTCAAATGGTATCTCTATTTGCAACCTTTTGAGAAAACGCCACACCACTTTCCACAGTGGTTGCACCATTTTACACTCCCACCAACAGTGAATAAGAGTTCCAGTTTCTCTACAACTTCGCCAGCATTTGTGCTTGCTGTTCTGTTAAATTTTGCTATTCTGACTGGGGTAAGATGATATCTCATAGTTGTTTTATTTGTTTTTGTTTTTATGTTTGGTTTTTTCCATTTGTAGATGTCTCCGGTTAAATTTACATTTCTGTTAAAACCTCAGAGAATAAATAAAATCAAAACAGTGTTTTTATTACTATAGTTCCTTACATATTTAAAATTAAAAGGATCTTTGTATAAGGAAGTACTTAAGATTTATACTAATGTGACTATGCACACACAGTTATATAGTGTCACTGCAGTGAAAAACAAGACAGGCCACCAAGCATTATGAATGGAGGAATTGCCCCCTGTCAACGTTGGTTTGTCTTTTGTCAATGGCTTGGAAGTGAATTACTGTCTTCCTTGCAAGCTAAGTCAGCTTCATTCAAAAATGGTTTATGCTTCTTTGCTTTATAAGCTTCTAAAGCAGTTCTTCATTCTAATCGCATTGTTTCTCCTAGTGAGTATGTCATATCACAAATAAATTGATTTGCTTTGGTGTTCACCCTAGATCTCAAAATCCGCTATTATGGTTATCTCTTTTCTGCTCTTTTATTTCCTTGTGTATAGTCGAGTCAGATCCAAGTGGCACAGAAGCAGATTGCTCTTCCTTCTCCAGCAGAACATCTGGTGGATTCAAATTGCATGTCTTTGGGATTGCAGCAAAGCTTCTTGCCACTAGGCCACCAGAGCTCCCTTCTTTTCTGCTCTCATTTCTTGTTTGTCCTGTATAACTAGAGAAGATCACATAAATATTGTGTACCAGTGACTTCCAGCTAGACCTCTATGACTTGATGATTTGGATGGTCTCGTTCATTTTCTAGATTCAGTTTTTTATGTGCTGAGTGACTCCATTAACTGTATCTCTAACCCAACCTTTGTCTCAGAAGCACTTGAGGATTTCTGAGAGTATATTGAAGATTTCCACTTGGGTATGTTTGAAATGATTCAGTGTGCATAAAATGTAACATCATACACCCTTTATTTCCATCTAAGCCACTGTCCAGCACAATGAACATCCCATTCACAGAGCTACCTGTGCCCAAAAATGGAGTTATTCTTAATTTTTACTATCCACTGCTAATCAATATCCAAATAATGGTTATTTGACCTAAAAAGCTTTTGATACCTTGTGATTCCCCCCCCCTTAACTCACATTATCATCATCTTGTGTTTAGATTGCGGAAACTTTCTAATTGCTTCTAGTTTTGTCCCTCTTTTTGGTCATTCTCATAGTGTGATCTTTCTTTCTAAGTAGATTGTTTTCTTTTCCTACTTAAGATCTTTCAGTTGATTCCTTAGTAGTTATTTGTAAAAATGCTCATTGTAAAAAAAAAATTCTCATTGTCTTTGGAATAAAGTCAGCTACATCTTTAATATATAGTTTATATAGTTTATTGAGACCTTTGGCACTGTTAATTTAAAATCTCTTTCTGCCTGGGAGACTTTCACTGCCTTATCCTTGTCATATTCTTTTTTGCCATCGGGCAACTGTCACTTGAAAAATAATAGAAGCTGGAGAGAAAGTCGCTGAAGAAATTGATATGATGAGCTTAGTGTTGTTATTGTTGTTAGGTGCTATTGAGTCAAGTACGAATCATAGCAACCCTGTGAAAAATCTGAACTCTGTTCTATGCTGTGCCATCCTCACACTTTCTGAAACACAAGAGCCCATTGCAGCAGTCACCATGTCAGTCCACTTGGTTGAGGGTCTTCCTCTTCTTCGCCAGCCCTCAACCCTTCCCACCATCATGTCCTTCTCCAAGGAATAGCACCCCCAGCAACATGCCCATGGTATATGAGGTGAAGCCTCATCATTCTTGTCTCCAAAGAGCACTCCAGCTGCACCCTCTCAAAGACATGTCTGTTCATTCTCTTGGCTGTCCATGGGATGTTCAGTGCTCAAGGTGTCAGTTCTTTTTCTGTCATCTTTATTCATTATTGAGCTCTCAGATGCATAGCAAATAATCAGAAAGACTGACCTGAATCAGACCCACCTTAGTCCTCAAACTGACATTATTACTCCTTAGTAATTTGGAGAGGTCCCTAACTGCAGATTTTCCCGGTGCTGTGTGTACTCCTTATTTCCTGATTGTTGGTACCAAGGGTGTTGATTGTGAATTCCAGCAAGATGAAGTTTTTGACAGTTTCATTCTTCTCTCCCTGCATCATGACGTTGCCTATCAGTCCAGTAGTAAGAATCTTTGTTTTCTTGACATTGAGATACAATCCATACCAAAGGCTGCATTCCTTGATTTTCTGCAACAAGTACTTCATGTTCTCACTTTCAGCAACCAAGGTTGTGTTATCTACATAATGCAGGTTATTGATGAATCTCCCTCCAATTCTGATGCCACACTCCTCTTCATAGAGTCCAGCTTCTTGGATAATTTACTGAGCATACAGAATAGGTATGGAGAGGTTGCAACCCTGACGCACTCTCTCTCAGTTTTGAATCATACAGCGTTCCCATTCTGTTTGCAGCAGCCTCCTTATGGAGGTATAGGTTCATCATGAGCACAATTAAGTGCTCTGTGATCCCCATTCTTCTCAATGTCAGCCACAACTTTCTATGATCCACATAGTCAAATGCCTTGACATAGTCAATAAAGCACAAATAGACATTCTTTTGGTATTCCTTATTTTCAGCAAGAATCCATGTCACTTGTCCTTTTACCATGTATTTTGGAATCAATATAGTTTATTAATTTACACCAATTCTTCTCTATTTTTTGTAACCTTAAGTTAAGGAAATGGATTAATTATCAAATTAGTAGTAGAAGATACTGAATTTTAATTTTTATAAATTGTCTCTTAACAGCTTAGGATTCAACATTGTACTTTATGGATTGGGATCTAAGAGAGATTTACTAGAAAGATTTCGAACTACCATGCTGCAGGATTCCGTTCATGTTGTCATCAATGGCTTTTTTCCTGGAATCAGTGTGAAATCAGTAAGTATTTTTAATACATAACAAGGAATACAATTATATCCCATGATAATGCATATCCCATTATTAATGGAGTTGCTAGTACTCATTCTGGAGCATTCATTCATATTGATAGTACTGAATAGTGCTTGAAATCATGTTGTTAGAATTCAAGCTTCAAATCCCCATCTTCAGATTTCCTATTTTATAACTAACACATGCTATACTCTAGGGAAATAATAACTTTGTTATATATGCCCACACCAGCTTTAACTGTGTTACAATTTTATGTGTTTTTGGTAATATACATACAGCAGTTGTTTAAGTACTTGGTTTTTGTTTTACAGTGCATTTATCTTAGATAGTTTTTATTCTAAATGTTCATATTTCTTCATCTGAAAATGAATTTATAGCTCTTTAGTGCTATATATTAAATAATGTAATCGTCCTTTTTAAGTGTTTTTAGTATTTTTTACTGTTAGAGTAATTGATGTTTATCTAATATTTCTTATAATGTTATAAAATACTTGCTGCAGAAGATCAAAGGCTATAACCATCAGTATGAAAGTAGCTAAGAGAATACGCCGTGCCCTTTTCCTTATGACTCAGGGTGAAGTCTCTCTCAGGGAGGAGTGATAGGGAATGGCAAAGGATACACTGACAAAGAAGATTGATCAGAACTGGCTTTGACAAGCACTGTGGCATTTGGACAAGAACAAACTGGGAGGAGGGTAGAGAGAATAGTGCAACAATGAGTGGAAGCCCAAAATCTCTGTAAATGTTTATGAAAATTAATAAAATATAATTATAGAAAAGGGAAAAAAAAAAAAAAGTTAAAGGAAAAAAAAAAAAAAAAGAATACAGAAATCCTCACCACTGGACCAGTAGATAATATGATAGGTGGAGAAAAGATTGAAGTTGTCACTGATTTAATTTTCCTTGGATTCACAGTCCATACCCATCGTTACAACAATCGAGAAATCAAAAGACATGTTGCATTGGGAAAATCTATTGTCAAGGACGTCTCCAAAGTGCTTAAGAGCAGTGATATCAGTTGAAAGACCAAGGTGCACCTGATCCAGGGCATGGTCTTTTCAGTTACTTCCTATGCATCTGAAAGTTGTTATAAGAATGAGAGAAGAATCACTGCCTTTGAATTGTGTATTGGAGAAGAGTGCTGAGTATAGGTCTGTCTTGGAGGAAGTACAACCAGGGTGTTCCTAGAGGCAAGGATGGTGAAACGTTGTCTTAAATATTTTGGGCATGTTATCAAGAGCAGCCTGTCCTTGGAAGAAGATATCATGCTAGAAAGGTGGAGGCTCAGGGAAAGAGAGTAAGACCTCAACAAAATGGACTAACAATGGGCTGGAACTTGTCAGATAATGAGGATGGCACCAATAGGGCAAGCTTTATCTCTTTTGTTCATAGGATCACTGTAAGTCACAGTCAGCTTGATGGCACATGACAACAACACAATAGCCTTTTAAAAATCAAACAGTAGTGTAGCTTATGTAGTCAAGATTATCTACCTTGAACATCATTCTTGTTCAAATTATTTCTTTTTTTTTTCTTTTTTTTTTTTTTTTACTTTCATGACGTTACTTTAATGATCAGGTTCTTTGAAGTCCTACAAACCAAATTGCAGTTCTCATACTGATAAAGCTGTGGATAAGTAGAGAGAGCCAGTTTTCAATACAATGACATACAGAGATTGAATAACTTGGGTGGAGTATTATAAAATACTCCACAGTAATTGTTTTTCAGATATATAACACATTATTTTTTATGCAATTTGAAGCAACTTACAGAGTTTTATTTTTAGAGTGTCCTCTTTGATGATTTTTTAAAATGATTTATTTAGGCATATCCCACTCTATAAAACTTTGTCCCAAAACATCCAATTCCCTACTTTATCTGAGACATAGAAATTTACAGTTGTGCTCAAAAGGGAAAAGCAGTCTTTCTCAAACACCTTCAGGGATTTATTAGTAACATGTAACTGATTCTTTGTCAGTCTGAGGTCTTCTTCCATACTAAAAAATCAACTATATAATTAAGGGATAATATGTGCAAATGTGTATATACCAAAAAATTGCAAAATGTTAATCAAAGTCTACTTTCAGTTTGTTAAATAATTCCTTGAGTGGCCCCTGAAGGAAACAAAGCATCTTTGTAGCCCAATCACAAATCTCTTCTAATTCTTAGAAAGGCAGTTGTGGTGCAACAATGAATGAATGGAAATACAAAGTCTCTGTAAATTTTCATTAAAATTAATAATTTTAAAATATTTAATTTTTTTTTTAAAAAAAAAAAAAGACAGTTCTGATTATATTGATCCAAGTAATGCAGTGGCAGCAGGTTGGGCAAGGCAACACTTCTGGTTTCTCCAAAGGCGGTCTCGCTTGACTTAGGAGGGCCCGGGACCATCCACAAGTTATCTTCCAGAGAATTTCTCCCATAGGAGTTGTGTTCCGTAAAGTGTGTCCCATGGCTGGGGATGGCTCTTTCATTGCCTGTCCATTACTGGAGAACTGCTTTCTCTGACAGTGCCTTTGTGTATTCCGGTAAGGGAGAAGCTGTGGTGTGAGGCAGAGCTTTTCCATTTGGTGAGGAAGGGCATGTCTTTTGTATGTTGCAGTAAAATTCATCAAGTGCCGTTTTGTGCTGTCTCTCCCAAGGTCGTCGGTGTGCCTTGCTTGAGCACAGGCTTTCCTGGCTGCAGCTGGGGATTTCCGTTTCCTCAGCAGTTCAGCTTGGACTTCGGTCACAAGATGTAAATGCGACATTTCCCTCCCCAACTCCCAGTATGCATGCTGCATGCTATCCCTTAAAATGCTGAATGCTTGGAGATTTCTGCTCCTCAGATTATCTTCGCCAGAGAGATTTGTTTGCTTGGATCTCTGCAGCTCTGTCCGAGGTTGTTACAATTTTTCCTCATCTGTTCCAGCTCTTGCTCCAAAACATGGATCTTTCAACTTCTCCACCTCCCAGCTTGAGGAAGGTGGATTCAGATTCCTCATCACCTTCTGAGTCTCCACCTCTGTCCTTAGCTGCAGAAGTTCTACTTATTTAGACTGTAGACTGTTCATTCAGTACTTAGAAAGATTCAGAATTGCCTTTATTCATCTTATCCAATTGGCTCTTCAGATTATCCCTATCAATGCAGACCTCTTTCTATGTGTGATAAACCTTATTTACTTGCTCTCGCCCCACAGAGGCAGCTTCTTCATCTGATCGACCTTCTAAAAGCTTTTCTTCCAAAAATCATATTGTTTTCTTTAACAAAGAATTAATTCTCTTTCTCTGAGTCCTTCAGTTGGTTTTTGATGTCTTCATATGCCGTGATGAGGGCAAAATGCGAAGCAACATACTTATCTCCCCAGTATATGGAGACCAGAATCACTCTGTCTCTCTCGTGAGCTTTCTCGTGGTTCAGAATGCAGATGTCATCTTCCATCAGTATAGCTGTGATAGTGCGGAGCCCTGCGAGGTGGGACCGCCTCCCTGGCCCACGACTTTCAATTCCCCAGGGTTTGCAAATGGATCCAAATCAAACCCGAGTTGCCAGGGGTCACTGTGGGCTTCCGGTTTCCTCAATGATGACGACGACAACGACGCCACCATTTCACCAGCTAAGGCAGCTGCTTGGGGAGCACCAAAACAGGGCGTCAATGTCTCCCACCTTGCCTGCACCAGGGGGCCGGGGAGGAGGTGGACTGCGGGCGTGGCCAGAGGACGCTCCCTGGCAGGCCACGCACCTCAGATTCTTTGTGTAGTCAAATTGAAAAAAACAACTTAAAAGATTAGATAGGAACTGTATGGAACAATGAGTATTATGTCAATGAGATAGCTCAGAAAAGAAGGGTGAAAATGATTGCAGAACTTGAATGTGATCATTGTCACTGAATTCTCCATGGAGAAACTGGAATTGTATTGTTATAGCTGTATATATTCTTAACAATAAAAATAAAGCATAATTAGCATAATGTATATATCTACTTACATTCTCATGACATTTTTAAAATGTCATTAAAAAATTTAAAATAGGTTGTTACTTGTTAAGGGTATTGTTTATCCTGCATAACAGAAAAAGTTCTAATTGACATAGATGCCTTTTGTGTTTTTGTAACTTAGATCCTGAATTCTGTCACAGAAGAAGTCCTTGATTATGAAGGTACTTTCCGCAGTATTTTGGATCAAGTAGACTGGATAATAAACAGATTTAAAGAAGGTAACATAAAGTAGATGCTTAATGTAGTTTGTTGTTACATGCTGTGGAGATGGAACCCACTCCTAGCTGGCCCTCCAGCTGTAGCATGGGAAGAGTGTCTGTTTCCTCCTGAAGAGCAATTGGTGGGTTCTAATCACCTGTCTTTGGATTGGCAACACAGCTCTTTACCCACTAGGTAGGCTACTAGAGTTCCCTCTTACAGTTTAGGCTGATGTTAAATAGACATTCTACTTATTCATATATTTGCATATACAGAAATGAGGATTATTTTAATAACTACACTAGTGTAGTATGACTGATTTGGATTGTTTTAAATTTATATGTCTCTATGAAATATTTTGGTAATACTTAACTGAAAGAAGAGAGTTTGTTTCTACACCTTTATATGTACATAACTCTGTTAGATTAAAAAAAAATAAGAGTTGAGGACAAGAGAGAAAAATAAAGAAGCTGGTCCCACGTAGGGAATAGGCCTTTATTAGTGGACCTGAGAGGGACGCCAAGTGACCGCTCACAAAGAGGATGAGAGAGGAACGCAGGCAGACAGTTTCCTTTTATACGGGCTTTCAAGGATACCCAGAGAGATGTTAGCTTACTCCAGAATTTTAGGGATTGGGTCCTGCCAATGTGTGACGAGACCCAGGGCCTTACCAGGATCCAGGCACCTAGTCACCTTACCAGGGTATGTAACTGAGCAGGTTTTTTCAAGGGATAGGCCTGGGTGTTAGGTCTAAGGATAGCTGTGACATTCGTCTTTCACGCTGTGGTTCTTACTGCAGATTCTTTTTTTAGCATCCAAGCTTTTATTAATATTTTTAAAAACAGGTGTCATTTCAGAATACTTTTAGATGTTGGCAATTGTAGAATAACTCCAATTGATCAGTATATTTTTATATTAATTATTATAAATCTTTTTTGTTCTGAAAGTTTACAGAGCAGATTGATAATACATTAAACCAGTTGTAGATCTTTTGAGTGAAACTGATAATAACCGCACATTGTGTTAGCGTCCCTCCCACGATTTCTCCGCTTCTTGTTTCCATTCATCCCTCCACCCTCTTCCTTTCTGAACTTTACCAGTTGCTCGCCTCCTTCCTCTGAGCCTTATCCCCAGGCGCATACTGCCCTTGTGCTCTTTTATTTTTTTTTTAATTATTATTGGGAAAAACATATTGGGGGTACAAGGAGGTGAGGGTTGGGGGCAAAAGGGTGAGGATGGGCCAGGATGCAGCTGCAGAGCTGCACTGTTTGGTCGGTGGGGGAAGCAGGTGAAGGAAATGATGAGGGTCCAGTGGGGACCAGATGCTACAGAAGAGTGACAAGCATTTTCCAATGGTAATTAAACCAACTGTCTTATTGATTTGGGAATTGGATGCC